TGGTCGAGAAGGACTACATCAGGCTTATTAGCTTGTATGAGCCTGAGGGTGGGGAACGAATAGTTCCAATAAATTCGGCACTTCTCGTTCCCCACAACGGATTCAATATCCCCCGGAGCGTAGGGCAACACCGGTGTCTCGTCAATACCGTAAGAGTGCCGTAGATGGTAATATAGCACTCTTAGGGCCGCGTTATGTCGATGGATATAGGCCGAGACCGCATATGCTGGACATGCTGATAGCAAGTACATTAGGGTCTCGGGCGCCTCGCTGCAGGCCCTGCACCTTGTGTCAGGAACCTCTATACGCATCACGCGACTGCGGTAGACTAAGGTGTTGAAGACACCATCCTGGCAAGTCATGATGAACCCCTCAGTTTTCGACTTCAGACCACTCGACCTGAGGAAAGCGAAAGTCAGGCTCTTTGATAAGCGATTGATTATTATTATTAGTATTGGTCTTTCAAATTTCCCTAGAGGTGAAGGATCATAGGCGTTAGGTCTGTAAACCTGGCCGGTCAACAGTAGGGTCCTTGGTTGGCTATCCAATTATTAGTAAAATTTGCAGCCAAAAAATTGGTAACGATTGCAGTGTTGTGCGATGCGAAGCCCAGTCTTGTTGAAAATATATTTTCTGGGATTATACGAAAAAAATTTCAAGACCGCCATGAATCATTCGTCTGAAATATATCAGGCGTGTAGGTCATATTGATTTATGCATACTGTGAAATTTTCAGGTGGATCCGATGAATAGTTTGTCAGAAACGGCTAATCAACGCTCATCATGAAAAGCCCTGTATAATGCCCGTAAAATAGTTTCCGTTCTCTTACCTAAAGGATGTGCATTTGCAGATATAAGAGCTGGAAGTTTCGTCCTCTATAAAATTCTACAAACATTCTTGAATATTCGAGAGTATTCAACAACTTCACAGAATACAATGGGATGTATTGGAATGTTCGTTTGAAATCTGGAGCGTTCGGGAACATACCAAAACATTCCACAGCGTTCTGTATCATTTGAAGCTCTTTTTGTATAGGCGGGGCTATCTATTGGTAGCTTCATTCTTTTACTAGCTGACCTGATGATCTTCCTATCACCTTAGAATTAATAAATGTGTCATCAGCAACTGAGTTTCATATGCAGTTTGTATAAGACGTCCTGTCATACAAGCCATATTATTTTCATGTGTAGCTTAATAGAATTCATGCCAGAGACATTATATTTATACAATATGCAGTGGAAAATATATCTTATAGATACATGCTGCTTGCATAATAATTTTCACTATTTATAATCATCAACTGAATATTGTGGAAAGTCATCAGTATATTTTAACTCTCAAACGGTAGAACATCAGTTCGAGAGCCAAAATAGGAGATCTGCTGCAAAAACAGTAGATCTAGCAATACTGAATACTGCGCTCTTTGGGCGATTTCTTACTAATCTGCAGTAGCCTGATTTGCAATATTTAGCAGTCTGATTGTATTACGGTCTTCTCTCTCGCGGCATTATAAATAATACTGTGATATACCGGGTGTCCCACATTTTATGTGACAGGCAATATCTGGTTTGTTGAAGGAGATACACAAAAATGTTTCATACAAAAGTTTTAGGAGTTCATGAGAGCTATATTTTGATATAATTTTTAAATATACAGGGTGTTTGGTGTAGGTGCTACAGACCAAAATTCCATTTTTTAAAATAGAACGCCCTGTATATCATTACATATTCAGATGCTACGTTAAATT